GTCATATGTTTCCTCTGTCTTTGGTCGGATTTATGGCCCTTTGCATGCATATCGTACTTGTCTTACATTTCCCCATTTTACCTAGAAATGCGCCTTGCATTTAAGCCATGATGCTTGCATGTTCTAGCTTAGCTTCATGAAGGTTTTAGCATTATTTTGCCGTGCTCAAGGACTGTTGGGTGCTGATTCGACCATGTTTGGCATGTTTGGTATAGTTTCTATGCGTTTTGGCTTGTGAGCCTTGAGTGTGTAAGCCATAGGCATGCCACATTTGGTCTATTTTTGTGATTTGGAATCATTTGCCATGCCATTTCAGTCCACGTTTTATGCTTGCATGTTTGCATTTTGTTATCCTTTCAATGCTTTGGAGAGACATGATCCTATGCTCCATGAATGGTCTTTTGTACATGCCTTTTGTTTTGTGTCTCTTAGCTGCCATATTAGGGGATTTTGGGACTTATTTTGGTGCATTAAAACTCTGTTTTTGGTTGTATAGCTCATGCCATGCTTGCTTGGGGTGGGTGTTGAGTAATGCTCCCATTTGTGGCCTTGAATGCCTTTCATTTTGCATCTATTCCCTAGCATGATTTGGCATCATCATTCACATTTTTTTTAGAAGTTAACATGAGTGTTTAATGTCCATGCTTACCACCTTTGAATGTTCTTGAAAGTAGCCTTCCATGCTCGGGTTTTTGGCTCATTGGTGTGCATGCTTGCATGAGCGCTTGTCCTTCATTTTTGGTACTTTTGGCCACTGTTTATGGCAAGGCTAAGGTCTGTCCTTTATGGTTTAAGTCCACCATTATACGTTTGCCATATGTTTGTTGCATATTTGGCTCATTATGTATTGCCACATGCTAGTCTCATTGCACATTTGTCCATGTTTACTACATTGCATGTTGCAAGCTTTAGTACATTACACATTGGTATGTTTAGTTTGCATTGCATTTGGCATGCCTTGCTTATTCAGTTTCATGTTGCATATTTGACCCATGTTGCATATGTGAGATACATTGCATACTTGCATTACATTTTGCTTGGTTTGGGGTGTCAAACCAAGCATGAGAATTGAGGAGTGTTCGTACTTAAAGTGACGAAACACGTCTCAATCCTCGGTCGCCGATGCCCTTGATCTCAACATGATAAGGTGTTAGTATTCATTTGCTTGTTGCATGCATTTACATTAAGTTGCTAACTTGGCTTCTTAGGCCATCATGCATCGAATTGCGTAGTTGATGGCCCGAGGGTCGAGGGCCATACTCCCTTGAGTCCATTGCATGATAGGGAGTGTGGACATGCTCATAATTGCTTGAAAACTCCATGCCATACACTGCTTGCCCTCTGCTGCTGTCAACTGCAGGATTCTGCAGGAAGCAATGGCCGGCCGGCCACCTACAATGCCGACCGACCATCAGTGGCTGACCGGTGGTACAAAAGTTGGCCGATAATCCCATTACCATGGCCGGTGAACTTTAATTCTGGCCGGTGACATCCCAGAACACTCAGAGGATGATCCAAAAGGGGTCTAGAGACTTTCAGAATTTTCAGAGGAGCAAGGTAATGAAAACAGAGGCAGCAGTGCTATGACAGTGAGTTTCCGGGCGAGACGAGTCAAGCATGCATCATTCACACATTCCGAGGTAGGGCTGCGGCCACCTTTCTTCTGCATTTAATTTGTTAATTAGTTAGGAATTCTGTAATAATTCATTTGGTTGTGTAATATTTATTCAGACCCTCCGAGTGAGGGCAATTGTGTAATAAGTGTGCGTGAGTGTGTGTATGTCTCCCAACCCCACGTCTTTCTTCCCTTTTATTTACTAGCTTTCAATGGTTAGTCTAGGGCATGTTTCAATTAGCATACAGTATGATAGCATGTTTGCATCCATTCATTTGCCTTGCATGCACCGGGCTCGGCGCATCATACTAACTGCATTGTATTTCAATTCTGAGTTGAATACGTGTTAGTTGTAGTATCATCGTATGTCATCTTAGAATAGCCAAGCCTATTGTAGTTGCATCTTGCATGTGTTGCATTAGCCATCTTAACATGAACTAGGATCATGCATGTGATTAATAACTAGTTTCCGTTTTGGCTCGGAGTACTCGGTAAGTTCTTATGTTTTAGCATCTTTGCATGCATGTGAGTGTTGCCATGACAGCATGTTTACCATGAGGCTATTTGCTTATGTGATATAACTGCTTGAATGCCTGTGGATGGAGGTTAAATTACCTAAACTGGAATAATGCATTAAAACTGTGAGTTTTAAGCCCACCCGAGGGTGGCAAAACCTGCATTTTAGCTTACTCACGAGTAGCAAACCATTTTCAAAACAAGCATGCAATGCTTTGTTCCAAATTAGGCGATTTGGTCTATACTTATTTGCTGTACACATAACATGGTAATTTTAGGCTAATAACAGGAATAGGAACACATAATACTTTCAAAACAAGATATCACGGTTAGTAGAGGCCGATCTTTGATCGGGGGAGAGGGAGTGCTCATAGCTAACCTTCCCCAATCGTACCCAAGTTCCCGAGCCGAGGCAACTTTGGTGATGACGGACACGTGGCCTTTGGCACCGAGTCAGGGTTTCCTAAATTTCCCGAAATAAAATATTTAGATGGCGACTCTGTATCTGGCAAAGCAATCCATGTTTGGCACTTCTTTTCTAAAAATCTGTTTTCCAAAACGATTTGCCGGATTTGGACTCTTTGGTTCAGATTAAGAACCGTGACAATTTGAGAGTCCTGAACTGTAGTGAACCCACTATGAACAGAACGGGACTCATCCTCCCTGGGTGTTCGGGGACGTCTACACCCTCCATGATCACTGATCATGTTGCCTCATAGTTAGTTCCATTATGCCATATCTGCAGTTAGGTTTCCCTCCGAATTTTGAATTTAAATATGAGTAATCGTTGAAGCCACGTCCTTCTGCATCCTTTGTTGATCTAGTGTTATACAGATCCACAACGACCAATACTAACTGTCACGTGTGCGATTATGATTGAAGATTCGAATTGTCTTCCCATATTACCCTTATCCTGCCACATGTCAAACTGTGATTGGCTTATACAAAATAGGTAGCCAACAAAATCTTATATTATAAATTGGATGATGCTTTTTTTCTTATTGTAACTATATTTTGTTAAATTATAAAACAACATAACCATATTTTTATCTTTTTTAATGGTGTATCTAAAAATTTTAAAAATTGCTTAGAATATTAAAAAAAATTAGTAAAAACAAAAAAAAAAATACAACAAACAAAAAAAATTAATTTTTTGAAAAGTGAATCCTGAAAATAAGAACCAAACAAGCTGAATATATTTACCATTTTACCCAAATATTTTATTTTAGGGCAAAATACAAAATACAAAAAAAAAAAAAAAAAAAAAAACCCAAGGTTTAGCGTGCTTTGCAAATTAAAGCCCGGGTTTTTAATTTTGACAATTAAAACCCTGTAATTCATTTTGTGTCACAATGTAAGACCCTGTCCATCTCCATTTCATGAAGTAACGGAGAAAGTCATTTTTGGCGCCTAAACCAACCCAAAACAATGTCGTTCCTCATTAGACCCATATAAAAGTCCCAAAATCCTTAATTTCACCAATTAGGGCTACAATTTGCCCCAATTTCTTCGATTTCGTCGATTTAGGGAAATACGATTGACGAATCCACTGCTGAACGAAGCTCTATTTTCAGCCATTACAAATATATGAGTGAAGGAAACAACTTGGGTGAAAACAATTAGGGTGAATCAACTCGTTGCAGTTGTGGAATGAGAGCAAAAATCCGAACTTCAAGGACCCATACAAACCCAGCTAAGAGGTTTCTTGGTTGTCCAAATTATGGAGTAAGTTTTCTAGTCCCGTGAATAATATGAAATTTGTGTATATTGTTGTTCCCTAAAACCTGGCTTTGATTAGTATTTTGTAATTTATTTACTTGAATTTTTTTTTTCTTCAGAAAAACGGCGCTTGTGGCTTCTTTTATTGGTATGATCCACCCACTTGTCCTTGTGGTAGACAAGTGTTGCCGAAGTTGGTGGACAAGGTTGCAAGCTTAGGGGAGATGGTAACTGAGATTGCAAGATTGAAGGAGGATGTTCAAACTTATTGTCGTAGACAAAAATGGATTGTAGGTGGATTGATTGTCGCAGTGATTGTAATTGGAATGTTAACAGTGAGCAGTTAGGGAATGTAAGTTACTTAGTTAGTTAGTTAGGTAGTTAGCATTTCTAGTTTAGGAAATATAATACAACTACAAATTAGGAAATGAAATGTAATGCAACTATGCATTTGTTAATGTGAGCTTAATGTATAATTTTGAATGAAATGATAAATCGTTGTTTTGTTTTGAATGTGTGTTTGGATTGCGGTAATGTTTGTTTGGTTGTATTCATTTTGTAATGAATTTGATGCATTTACAAAGCCAATGCTCTAAATGTGTTTGACAAAATGTCCAAGTGAAGGGAAAACAAATTACAAGCTTATAAAAAACAGATTACAAGCTATTGTTCAACCTGTTTCAAACCAATATATACACAATCCAAGCATGTATAATAACCATTCAATTGGTCAACCTATTCCATCTGTTCAACTTGTTCCAAGCATGTCAAAAATAGATTAGTAGCCATTGTTCAACCTGCTCCAAACCAATATACAACACATTCCAAGCATGTATAATAACCATCCAATTGGGTACATCATGTATAATAAGCATTTATAATAACCATCCATATATTGCTCCAAACCAATATGCATCTTTCACCATTACAAAAATAAGTAGTTCACAACAAAAATAAGCAGTTCACCATCCATAATCTGTCTTCAGGTCACATGGCAATTACAAAAAAAACCAATTCATAATTACAACATTCAATTCACTATTTCTCTATTAACATTAGCCTAATTACCTAACACCTGTACAACTTCATCCCTTCTCATGGTTGCTATTGGTGTTGATGTGCTCCTTATTGATGCCCTCTGTGGTAGCTGCTACTGTTGGTTACCAATTGATGCTTCCCCAGATATTGCATCTGATTTGAATCTCATGAAAGTTTGTCGACTCCTAACCTGTTAACAAAAAATTGTTAAACCACAATTTGAGCATATATGGAGATCAATTACAAGTAAAGCATACTAATACATTACTTACATTCTTTGATGAACTTGCAGCTCCATCATTTTTACCCTTGACAGGCCCCTTCCATGTTCTTTGATTATGACCATGTACACCACACTTGGAGCATTTCAGGCTGGTACACTTCCTCTGCAACTTGAATGGGTTCTGAGGCTCATCTGGGTCTCTAATTCTTTGCTTTTGAGGCCTATTAGTTGGCCTTTTCAACTTATTAGAAGGAAGAAAAGGCTCAGAACCTGTCTTAGGCCACTGATCTTGGCCATTAAGTATATTTATCAGTGCCTCATAAGTTCTCAAGTATGTCTCTTTTTTGAAAGCCACATGCACATAATCCTCAACTCTCTCTTTTTGAAAGAAAATAGCAGCCACAACATGAGGACAAGGGATTCTAATTAGATCCCACTTGAAACAAGTGCATGTCCTATTCTCTAAGTTGACAACATAACCTCTTACTCCATATCTAACTTCAAATAGAGCACCCCCTGACCAAGTAGGTATTCATATTCTAGATTTTACCTTTAACCTCTCAATCTTAGTTTGTATATTTGCACATATTGGCCCTTGGTACTTTAACATTTTGTCCCTACATTCATGAAGCCTCACCATCAAAGCCCTCTTGATCCACCCTAACATGGTGATAATGGATCTATCTCTAACTGGTAGGACCCAACTGTTAAAAGACTCTGAAATATTGTTCAACAATCTATTACAATTTGTTATGGGATTGAATGCATGCCTACACCACTGAGCTGGATTAAGTCTCATCATCCAATCATATGCTCTACTATCTATACTATGCAACTTAGTCATATGTTTCTCCCAATCAACCCTTGTATATGCCTTTGCAGCTTTCCATACACAACTCTTTAGCTCCTTCCCTCTAAACTCCTTTTTAAAGTTTGCATAAAGTTGTATGAAACAAAACCTATAATGGCCTTCAGGGTACAATTCTTCAAGAGTTGGAACCGGTCCCTACAAAACATAAATGTTAAGGAACATAGCAGACTAATGAAAAAACCATTAAACATACATATACCTTTTGTTGATTAGTGATGATGGTCCATCTATGCTCTGCACTTGTGCTAATACATTCAAACAAATTCTTTACAAACCAAGCCCAACTTTCTTTATTCTCACTCTCAGCCACTGCATAAGCAACTAGATACATCATGTTGTTTCCATTCCATCCTATCCCACAGCAGCAAACAATTGTCCTTGACAATGTCGTTTCAAATGACAAGCATCTAAGCCAATCAATGGCCTCACACCAGCAAAAAACCCTTTTCTGATTCCATCAAGGCACACAAACATTATTTGGAACCTAGGATTAATTTGAAGTTGAGGCCTCCATACATTGACGTCAACTCTCTGTAGACCGCTCGAACATCCTGGCTCCGCGCGCGAGGGCGCGAAATCGCTTTGTTCTTTAGGCTACTACAGTTCGGACTCAATGTCACAGTTCTGAATCTAATCTCACGAAGTGCAATATGAGACTGATAAATCACCAAAGAGTCCAAATCCGACAAATCATTTTTGGAAAACTGATTTTTATAAAGAAGTGTCAAACATGGACTGTTTTGCCAGATACAAAGTCGCCACCTAAATATTTTATTTTGGGGGAATTTAGAAAACTCTGAGTCGTGCCTAAGGCCACGTGTCCGTCATCACCAAAGTTGCTTCGGCTCGGGAACTTGGGTACGAGAGGGAAAGGTCATGCAATGAGCACCCTCGCTCGCCTGATCAAAGATCGGCCTGTACTAAGCATGATATTTTGTTTTTGAAAACACATGTGTTCTTATTCCGGTTATTAACCTAGAATTACTATGTGATGCGCACAACATACAAGTATAGACTAGACTGCCTAAGTTGGAACAAAACATTGCATGTTCGTTTGTTTGAAAACGGTTTGAAGTTTGCTACTTGCAAGTAGGCTAAGACGCGGATTTCAATGAATTGTTCCAATTCAAGCAATCCAACCTTCACCCACAAGCATTCAGGCAGTTAATCAAATAAGCAGTTAGCCTCATGGCAAGCATGCTTTCATGGCAACATACACATCTCATGCAGTATGCGAAAGCGTAAACACTCAAAGTGTACTCCGAGCCAAAACAAAGAACTAATTAGAAATTATGCATGATCCTACTTCATGTTAAGATGGCTAATGTAACACATGCAAAAATGCGACTAAGATAGGCTCGACTATTCTAGAATAGCATATGAAATGCAACTGGATACACGTATTCAACTTCGAATTGAAATACAATGCAGTTAGTATGATGTACCGAGCCCGGTGTATGCAAAACAGATGAATGGATGCATGCATGCAAGCATAAGGTATGCTAATCGAAATATGCCCTAAAACTAACCATCGTAAGCGGTAAGTAAAAGAGAGAAAGAAATGGGGGTTGGAAGACATGCATCACACACACGCACGCTTATTACAACAATTGGCCCTCTCGACGGAGGGTCCGAATAAAGAGCTAACTAGTTAATCTAAGCTAATTAAACTAATTATTACATCACAAAACTAATTAACTAACAAGCTAATTAATTAAGCTATTACAACACAAATTGAATAGTTAAACGCATTAACTAATTAGGTACAAAACCAAAGCATAAACTAGCTAAGCAAATTAGCTAAGTAAAGCGATAAATCAGGAGCCTCAAGGCGGGAAGTATATGCATGCTCGGTCGCCTCGTTCAGAAATCCATCACGATGCCCCGATTTGCCTCTGTTTGCAACTGTCCCCAGAACCTTGCACCAAGCTCCACAAAGCTTCCAACTCACCTTGGGGGCCTGTGGGGGGGCTACCAACCACCTAGGGATGCTTCCAGCCACTGGCCGACCACTTTCTATTGCTGCAAACCAAAAAAAGTGATCGGCCAGCTAGTTGTTCTGGTCGGCCGACTAGTTTTGCTGCACTTCTCCACTTTGCTGCAACAGAGAGCAAGAAAGGGCATGGCAATGTATTTGCAAGGTATGTGTGCACAACCACCCTCTCTATCATTTCATAAGCTCAAGGGAGTGCGGTCTTCGACCCTCGGGTTACTAATCACGCATCTCGATGCATGATGGCTGAGAAGCCAAATTGCACAATTCAATGTAAAATGAATGCACACATAAACACATAAAGCCTAGAACTCTATCATGTATGATCAAGAGCGTTGGCGACCGAGAATTGAGGCACGTTTCATTACTTCAAGTATGAAATGTCCCTCGTTCCTCGTGTTTGGACTAATACCTAATCCAAACACAATGCAAGCAACAACATGCGAATATGCAATGCAAGGCATGCAAAACACAATGCAACTACTTGGCATACACAATGCAAAGATAACATGGCATACTCAATGCAATGAACAACATGATCAACTTAACAAAGCAAGGCAACATAAGCATGCAACAACATGGCAATGTAAGCATGCAAATAACATGAAAGCAAACATGTTTCAATGGACTTAAACCAAAATGGATAGACCTCAATCATGCCCAATCAGTGGCCATAACACCAAAACAAAGGCATGAAATATAAAACAAAGCATGCACATGCATTGGCCCATCAACTAGGCCTAAGAGCACAACTCTCAAGAGTGCTCAAGAAGTGATAAACATGGGAGTGTAACAACACTAAAGGCTTTGAAACAAGGTATGAAATGATGCCAAATCATTCAAACAATAGGCACAAGGCATGCTAGAGTCCTTAAGGCATAAGGCTAGCAAAGAGCAACACATAGGAGGCATGCAAAACATGGCACAAATGCATGAACCAACCATGGACAGAGCTTAATTAGGTCTAAACAAAGACCAAAATATGCTGAGATGAGGGCTCAAGGACCTAGGCAAGATGGCATACAAGCTAGGCCACAAACAAGGCAACAATGCATAACACTCAAAGGCACTTAAAGAGTGGAAGAAGTAGGAACATGGCAAGTCTATATGCTCTAAAATGTCATGTTATAGGATGCCAAATCATGTACACAACACAAATGAAGCATGCTATGGTACTCAAAGCTTGAAGCTAGCATATGCATTTATACTACAACTTTGCAAAACATGAAGCATATGGAAAGGGCAACCCAAAGCAGTCTTAGAACATATCAAAATGAGTGTAAAACATGCATGGAAGGAAGCCAAAATAAGCTAGCATAAAGGGCATAAGGCATGGAATATGCAAGGCAAATAAGGTGGATTACACTACACCTACCAAGACCAAGCATGAGATGGCTTCGCCAACAAAAATCAGAGTTATATTATGGCAAAATAATCCCAAAAACACATTGAAATGATAGCTCGCAAGCTTAGGCATGAAGGCATACGCAATGATTCATGTTTAAGGCATAAAGGGCAAACCCTCCAACGCATTGAATGAGTGAAAGATGCACATGTATGACCATGAAACATGCACTGAAATCACATAAAAAATTATGCCAAATCATTGAAATAGGCCAAGCAATGCATGCTAGTGGACTTGATACACAAAGCTAACAAGCTAGAATGCACTATAACTATACAAAGCATGGCATGCATGACCAAAACAACATAAATCAGAGCTTAAGCATGCTAAAATATGGACAAAAGCTTCTTAGAGTTAAGCCAAAATCATGCTAGAATGACATGTTAAAGCATGATACACAAGAGGCTAGTTAATGGAATTGCACTACAAGTGCATGGAGCATGCAAGGGCTAACCAAACCAAACCTTAACAGAGGTATGACATGGCAAAACATCACCAAGAACATGCTGGGATGGACTCAAAACAAGCTAGAAAGACATGTTACTTCATGAAGCATACAAGACTAGTTTGTAAGAAATACATCACAAGTGTATAAGGCATGCAAGAGGTGACAAAACCAAACTAAAATAGTGGTATGCCATGCTCAAATAAGCCCAAATACATGCTAAGATATAGCCAACATAAGCTTAAGAAACATGCTCGCACAAGAGGCATTCAAAGCAAGCATGCAAGACATAAGGAGCAGGGATGACCCTCTCCTATTTGGGACCTTAAAACACCATTTCCACCACTGAAATTCCTCTGAGTTTCAGTGGTGAGAAGGCCAAAACAAGGTGGTCCCAATAGCTTAAAAAGAAGGCACAAGAACAAGACTAAACAAGGCCTAAGAGGGAGTAGACTACCCCCAACACAAAAGTGACCTTAAACAAACATGTTAAGGACCAAAAAAATAGATTTTTTTGTTAAGCTTAAATCAGCATGCAAATAGGGCTAAAAGCTTAAGCAAAAACAAGGGTTTAAAGGGTTAAAGGCTCACCCTTGATAAACACCTTCAAAGTTGTAACTCCAGCACTCTTTTGAACCAAAACCAGTCCAAAAAATTTAAAAACAACTTCAAGGGACCTCAGCTCCAAGAGTATGGTGTTTGAGTGTGTGTTTGTGTGTTAAAGTATGGCAAAACTACACTTTTAGGCACAAAACAAGAGCAAACAAAGAAGAATAGAGACAAGTATGTATCTATAGCTCCAGCACCATTTTTCTGAACCTAGAGGAGGGAGGAGGAGGTTCTCTCTTATAGAGAACAAAGAACAAGCTTGTTGGACAAGCTTTGGCCTCAAAGTCATCCCGAGACAAGGCGCGCGGTCGAAGGCTCCGAAAATCGAAAATTAGTCTCCAAGCAAGAGAAGTGGTCTACGACCACGAGAAGTGGTCTACAGACCACTCCCTCCCTCCAGGGAAGAGAAACAAGGTTCGGTCCGCAAACCGAGCCGAAGCACAAAGAGTTCAAAGGCAAGGAGGCAAGGCACTCAGCCGAAAACTCCAAAACCTCGAAACAAACACAACATGCAGAATCACCGAGCGCTCAATCGATGACGTCTGAGTCTTAAGGTCGGTCAAAAATAGGGTGTCTACACTCTTAAATCTGGATTGGTCCTTATCAACTCAGCAACATAATCCCATAGTTTTATATATTGTTTAGTATTTGTTCCCTCAAATTGCACCAATACTTGTTTCCTAGCTCTGTAACATTTCATTTTGGATACTTCTGCAACACAATCATCTTTCACAGTGTCCATAAATTCATTTATTTTCCAGGTATGGGTGGTCCTGAATTTGTTCACATACTTAGATGCCAAAAATGCACTAGTTACTTGTTTGTTCTTGTAACTTCTATTGCAATTGTGTGTAGGTTTGTATGTCTTAATTTGTAATGTGTTCTTTCCACTCATCTTAGAGGCATAAAGCCTTCACTCACACCCATCACTACAGTTGACTTGAACCTTCCATGTCTCACTTTTTGTGAATTTAACATCATAGCCCCCTTTCACTGCATATTCCCTCACAACATCTTTAAATTCAATGGCATTATTAATAATATTAAACAACATTCTAATTTTAAATTCAAATTTAGCCATATCAACCTCAGGCCTAAAATTCAGGGTACTTTGGCTTCCTATTATGCTCCTTATCAGATCCTTCTGGGGTTAATAATTCCTCCTCAAATGAATTCCCATCATTCACAACACATTCCTCAAATGCATTGCTTCCTTCTCCATTTGGTTCCTTTTCTACATTACCATCAAACACGATATCATCCTCGGTTGGGTCATCCTTATCCTCAGTACTAGCTAAGAAATCACTATCTGATGAGTCATTATTTCCCTCATTTTCACTGTTTGCTTCATCTTCATAGTCATGATACTGAGGATGTTGAGCATTTTCATCATCATTTATAAGGACATCAGTAAGGAACAAAATAGGGTGAGGGGTGTCTATATTTTATAGCACATGATGCTCAACAAATAATTCTAATGTGTTTGTAGAGCTTAGATATTAAAACATTTCTAAAGCATCTTGGTCAGTACCTAATCTTCTTAACCCTCTAACCAGATCTTCTGTGGGAATCCTATAAAAACTGTTTATAATCACATATCCCCAACTTCTTCACCATATATATCAACTTAGGCACAGAAAATGTATCAACATCAACAGTATCAAACACATGTACTTTACCCCCAAAGTAATTCCTAGGCCACCATCACTATATATGAAGTACCCACTATGATGTAAAACCAATTTCATATTTATATCATCCAATGCTGCATTCACAAATAAACAAATATATCACAAACAAACAAAAAAATGCATAAAAAATCAGTGGATTGAACAGGTGGCATGAGACCAACAATAGAGACAAAAAATTTTGATAAATCAATGGTCCATCGCTCAGTAAATGCAGTGATCCATCAATGGAGATAAAAAATTTCATAAAGCATCCAAGACATTAAAGTAACCAATACATACACACATACCCATGCAATAGAGTTATATATAAATACAGAGTTTGCCATTACTTTATTTACAGAATTAGAAAAAGAAAAAAACAAAACTTCATATACAAATTATAAGAAGAAAGAAACAAAAGAAATCGTATAAATCACTTACCAACACTCCAAATAACAGTAACCAGCAGTATTTCAAACCTTGGTCCAGTTTTTTTTCCAAATCGCAACAACTCCTTTGCCCTAAATCGACGAAATCGAAGAAATTGGGCCAAATTATAACCCTAATTGGTGAAATTAAAGATTTGGGGTCTTTTATATGAGTCTAATAAGGAATGACGTCGTTTTGGGTTGGTTTAGGCGAAAAAAAAGGCTTTCTCCATTACTTCATGAAATGGAGATTGACGAAGAGCTTAAGTTATGACACAGAATGAATTATAAAGTTTTAATTTTCAAAATTTAAAATTTAATTTATAAAACACGCTAAACTTTGAGATTGTTTTTTTTTGTAATTTGTCCTTTACCTTATGATTGTGTATAAATGGGCTCAATTTCTAAGAGTCGGGTTAAGGTCGGTCCATCCACACCCAATTTGGATTGGGAATCCTAGGTCGTTGGGCTAGGCCATTTTCGTTCAGAAAACGACGTAGTTTTAAGAACCTATATAATGACACAAATCCCTACCCCTTCTTCTTTCAATTATATCTGTTGTTGTTTCGCTCTCTCTGTTCAGTTCCTCAACTCCGCGGCGTAGATCCGAGAGGAGTTTGGGAAAACCCTAACCCTAGAATATCATATAGCTCTCGCAGATTCACTCTCTCTCTCTCACCTCTTTCTATCTCTACATCCAAAGATCTTCAAGCATCTTTCACTGCTATCAGGTATTCACAGAGAATTTCTCATCTTTCAGTCTCTGTATCTATCTATCTATATATATATATTGTATTTGTTGATGATTTTGATTCGTTAGATTCACTCTAGTTTGAGTTTTCATTATGATCGGTGTTGAAAACACGATTTGGTTTTTGTTTGGATTGAAGATCTATATGTGTTTTTGTTTCTGATGATTGATTACTTGTTTTCTGATTCTTTTCCTTTTGTGATATTGATATATACATCGATGATGAGTTTGTATATTTATATAAAGACTGGTAAATCTACTTGATACTGATCTAGTTTTGTATGTTTTAAATGGGTTTTGTTTACGTGAATTAGAGTAGTTGTGTAGAGAAGAAAACATGAAAAAGGGAGGTTTTTTCAACGAAGTGTTGCATAAATAAAGTGTAAAACACCAGCTTTTTCTTGTACATGTTAATATGCAAAGCAAGTTTTTTTTTTTTTTTTTTTTTTTTTACCTTTTTTGCTTACCACTTAAGTATTTTATTGCGTTTAACTGTCTATTATGTAATTGACTAATTGTAATGGGAATCTTTAGTCAGCATCTTTAAATGACTGTCTTGAAGCAAAATTGTATTGGTGATTCTCAAATTGTTTTGTTGATTATATGGTCCTTTCGCTCCTTTTTGAACATTGAACCCTGCAGTGTAAGTGTGTACAGTTCCTTACATTTTTGTCTATGGAAAGTAGTGTCCTATCTTTCAATTCTGAGGTCGTTTGGAAATATTATTTGGTTTTTGTCTAGTTTTACAGAACCTCGTGTGTGTGAATTTCTATTTTTTCTGGTTTTCAAATATACATCAATTTTATTAATTCTTGGATCTAGTGTTACGATGTACATGTGATTTACTCTAGCTGTCTGAGAATGTGAATGTAAGAGGAAAAAGGATTGTTACTGGATCTAGTGTTACGAATTACATTAGTTGTCTGTTAAGTATTATTTTGAGTTTTCACAATAATAGTTGGTGGGGCTTGTCTGTGAGCTCAAAGCTTTTTAGTACAATAATTCTTATAAGTAGTATGTGTATTTTTACTTTTTACAGACATGGCTGGCTTGGCACCTGAGGGTTCTCAATTTGATGCTCGTCAATTTGATGCCAAAATGAATGAGTTGTAAGTTTTTTTCTCCTGTTTCCATAAACATTCGCTGTAGTTTCACTTGAAATACATGGTTTGACTTCCTTCTTCTGATGTAAAGATGTTAATTTCTTTTCCTTTCCCTTCTTTTGATAGCCATGTTTATGCTCATCTTCGGTTTGGTCTATTGTGGGTGCAGACTTGTGGCTGATGGAGAAGAATTCTTCACCTCATATGACGAGGTTTATGAAAGCTTTGATGCAATGGGCTTACAAGAAAATCTCCTGAGGGGCATCTATGCTTATGGTAGAGGCTCTCTCTCTCTCTCTCTCCCCAAAGTAATTCATAATAAATTTCTCCAATGCAAACTTATATGGTTTTTTTTTTTACGGAATGAGTGGCCTTGTGCAGATTTAGATTTAACACTGCCTGAGCTTATCTTGACCACCTGATTGGGGTTTTCTGCATTTTTTATAGGTCCATTTAGAGCATTTAGATTTTAATAAACATGAACTATTTATCCACTTGTCATCATGAGTGGTGTGGTGCCTATATAGGTGTGAAACTGGTGGCTAGTTTATTTATGCATTGAATAGTGTCATTTGGATTGGTGAAGATGTAGGTTACATTATAAAACGCTGCCTTCTAATCATTGTTTATGTTGTGAGGTTCCCTTCTGGAAAAATGGAGAGCTAAAAGTTGGATCTGAATTTCTTTGAAGGTTTTGAGAAGCCATCTGCAATTCAGCAAAGGGGGATAGTTCCTTTCTGCAAAGGACTTGATGTAATTCAACAAGCACAGTCTGGAACTGGAAAAACTGCAACATTCTGCTCTGGAATTCTGCAGCAGCTTGATTATAGCTTGGTTGAGTGCCAAGCTTTGGTTCTTGCACCCACTCGTGAACTTGCCCAGCAAATTGAGAAGGTTATGCGAGCACTAGGTGACTATCTTGGTGTGAAGGTTCATGCTTGTGTTGGAGGGACTAGTGTGCGCGAAGATCAGCGCATTCTCTCAAGTGGGGTTCATGTTGTTGTTGGTACTCCTGGTCGTGTGTTTGACATGTTGCGGAGACAATCACTTCGCCCTGATTGCATCAAAATGTTTGTCTTGGATGAAGCTGATGAAATGCTGTCACGAGGTTTTAAAGATCAGGTACTTGATTTTCCTTTGATTTGTTTGTCTTGTTAATAGGTTTTTTTTTTTTTTTTTTTTGGCTACCGTTGGCTGGAATTGTTAATATGATGCAATAATCTGTTTGTTCAGGCATGCCATAATTCTGTTAGGATACATTTTGTTTATTCTGTGGTACAATAACTACATAGATGAGGAGTAATTTTCATCAGTTAATGCTAATTATAGGTCGGGTGTTATTACGTGCATGAGATGTATCTGAATATCTGTTTTGTTATATAATCTTGCAACTTCATTGGCCTGAGATAAGCTTTAGTTCAAACTGTTTGCAATTTGAAGTGCTTCTGTATTCTAATGCCAATTTCTCCCTCCTGTCAGATCTATGATATTTTCCAGTTGCTGCCACCCAAAATCCAGGTTGGGGTGTTCTCTGCCACAATGCCACCAGAGGCTCTTGAAATCACCAGGAAATTCATGAATAAGCCTGTGAGGATTCTTGTGAAACGTGACGAACTTACTCTTGAGGGTATCAAGCAATTTTATGTGAATGTTGACAAGGAGGAATGGAAGCTTGAGACACTTTGTGATCTCTATGAGACCTTGGCCATAACCCAAAGCGTCATCTTTGTTAACACCCGACGCAAGGTTGACTGGCTCACTGACAAAATGCGCAGCCGTGATCACACGGTATCTGCTACCCATGGAGACATGGATCAGAACACTAGAGATATCATTATGCGGGAATTCCGGTCTGGTTCCTCTCGTGTGCTTATCACAACTGATCTTTTGGCTCGTGGTATTGATGTCCAGCAAGTCTCTCTTGTGATAAATTATGATCTGCCAACCCAACCTGAGAACTACCTTCATCGAATTGGGCGCAGTGGTAGGTTTGGGAGGAAGGGTGTTGCCATCAACTTTGTGACCAAAGATGATGAAAGGATGCTGGCTGACATCCAGAGGTTCTATAATGTGGTAGTTGAGGAGCTCCCAGCAAATGTTGCTGATCTCCTTTGATTGGATTTTGATCTGGCAAGGTAAATTGTTTTCTACTGGGGAGTTATTTATCATCCTATTCATTAGGGCTTTGGCGCTTTGATAACATTAATGGGAGATGTGGACCCTGTGATTTGCAATGGGGACTTGTCTGTTCCCATTTTGGATGTAGTAGGAATCTGTTGGTGCAAATTTTGTTGGTTTGCTTTTGTGTTGTTAGTGTCAGAAAATAACTTGCAAAAGTGGGATTGGTTGGTTGAATTGTCATTATTGAGTTCTGCAGTTGCCTTTTTTTTCTTATTTTGTATATGAGAATTTATATTGAAATATGTGCATCTCTTGTTCATGCCAGGAGACTATAGCTGCACCACTTTTGGCTCTTATCAGCTGTTGACTCTTGATTTTGGCTCCCAAGTGTGTTTACTTTTAACATTCAAGGCTTATAATCTGGCCTTTTTTTCTTTCAAATTTGAATTTGAGCTTTCAGATCTGTTTTCAACATTACCCACGCTAATCAGATTATGCATTATTGATTCTTCATTCTCGATTCTTTTAAGTTTTGGATGTGTCCCAAATATAGCTAGTGATAGATAAACTGCTGTGTCGTTCCTTGTACACGGCATTTTTGTCCCCCTATCTACCAGTTAGTTGAACTTGGTTGGTTTTTATACCTGGAGACTGTCATCGAGTCCCATTAGGAATTGAGGAAATTGAATATTGGTTGGATTTAACAGGTTCTTATACAAATTATCTAATTTGGATCCACTGCATTGCTTCTCAGTAATTCTACCAAGCATGAAGCTATTATATTTTAGTTAGTGATAGTTTTATAAATCTCTAGTTCAGGTGTAGTCTTAAGATTTGGTGAAATTCTGCGCACTGTATTTGTGCTGGGACATTTTTGTGCCACTTGTTTGTTTTGGGACACTGGTTTCTGTTGTGGTGAGTAGTAATCATATATCCAAAGTTTCATGAGGAGTTTCTATGGTGTCTGCTACTAGTTTTACATGAACTTCACATGGTTTTGAGATTGTTTACATTTGCATTGCATAATTTATGTTGGATTATTTGATGGTTTGTAATTTCCTTTGTACATTGCTCAACCGGTTCTTTTTTTGTGAATTGTTTTCCTCAGAACCATCCATGGATGTTTATTTAACCATCACAGCTAGTCTTGAGCCACTAATGCCAGTCTAGTCCCTCAGGCATGCAAGACTCTCCATGCTATGTGTGGGTATAGTGTTTACTTCATTCTGCCATCTATGGCCATGTTTGGTTGCTAGATAGGATAATAGGAATGTGATTATCCTTGGATAGAGGGTGATTATGTATCGCATGGAATAAAAAGGCATTGTGGTGGATGATGTATATACTAAGGTGCCGTTTGGTAACACTTACATTTTCAGTTTTCTGTTTATATTTACAAAAATTATAAAAACTCAAATAAAAACTAACCATCACAGCTAGTCTTGAGCCACTAATGCCAGTCTAGTCCCTCAGGCATGCAAGACTCTCCATGCTATGTGTGGGTATAGTGTTTACTTCATTCTGCCATCTATGGCCATGTTTGGTTGCTAGATAGGATAATAGGAATATGATTATCCTTGGATAGAGGGTGATTATGTATCGCATGGAATAAAAAGGCATTGTAGTGGATGATGTATATACTATCCCATGTTTGGGAGGAATTGGATTTGGTGGGGTGGTGTAATCATATGATTGTTAATTTTGTCTACTAGTTTTTTATCCTATTCCATTCCCATAGAATTGAGTTATTCCCTACTCCTGGAATGGTTGGGTCACAGTTGTCACATTATCACATTGATGTTAAATTGTGCAACCAAGGATACATGAGAAATGTTTAATTCTATAAATCACTTCTTAGAAAAACTTTTTTCTTCTCATTTTTCATTTCATTTCATTTTCTATTAAATTTAAGTTCCAAACAATGTGTTGAAACATTGAAATTTGTGGAGAGGAGAAGTATATGCACAATAATATTGTGGTGGTAAAGCCTCCATGGCTTTGTAAGACCAACTTAGGATTATCTTTCCTCTCAAATGAGGACCAAATATCAATCTTGGGAGTTTTGTGTGGAAAGATGGGTCTTAATTACGTCACGGTCTCTTCTACCATTACCAAATATTATATTATTCTCTTATTTATGAATTCGTGCATTTTGATTGTCTTAAGTTTTAAAGTACATCATTTTTATTTGTCTTAGATCACTTTTAAAAGGATATATTTCTATGATTTTCATAATTAGAGTTTATATAAAATAATATGTTGTTAAGGGAGTCTTGATATAATATAATCTTAAAAATAATTATTATATGATATGATGATTAATATACAACGGTCCAATGCCTTCATGTGGTAATGAGAATAATTATTATATGATATGATGATTAATATACAACGGTCCAATGCCTTCATGTGGTAATGAGATTGTGGCATGCCCATTGAATTTCCTTATCTCCACAGGTTTTTTTTTTTGCTCATATTAGACACTAATGCAACTGTGAACATTATTGGCAGCTTGCTTATCATATTGTCTTTTTGTTTTTGTCTCTTTTATTTTTTCTATATTACAAATTATATGGTTTGTTTTATATTAAACTAGTGTACCCCGTCAGCTCAAAAAAAAAAAACTAGTGTACCCCGTCACGTTACTTTATAAATTAAAAAAAAAAAATCATTCAGTGTGTTTGGTTTGAGTTTTTTGGATTAAATTTTTTGAAAATTGAGCTTTTTGATTTTCGTAATTTTTTGTTTTTAGTGAATATTTTTTAAATTTTAGACATTTTTTTTACTTTTTTAGATGCATCTTATTTAGATGTATCTAAAAAGTAAAAAATTTATGAAAAAATATTTTAAAAAATTAATAAATACATAAAAATATAAAAAA